GAAGTGTAATTCAATGACACCACACATATCCCAAGTTTTTAGTTGGATTTATTTTATGATGGTTTGCTCACTTAAGTTTCGGCCAGGGTTAAAGAGTAGGTTTCAAGGTTGGCCAAATATTTGAGGTATAGGTGGACAATATAAAGATGGTTTTAGAGGAGGTAGAGATGTTAAATTTTGTAGATTTATGATTTGGAATATAAATTTTGGATCTATGAGGAGATCTACGGTTAAGGTTAGAGAGATTAGAATTTGATTCTAAAACCAAAGGAAAATGATCTAGAGTTCATTAATTGTGTAAATAATCAGCAAGAGAATTTCAAAGGTTGTAATGGGAATTGTTGTTTTTGGTGAGAAAAGGAAGGGAAGATATGAATTTCGAGGAGGATCCGCCACTTATAGATAATTAATTTACAAACACATTACTTTAGAAGAAAAAGGATATAGCACTTTGACCGAGAGAAAATAGATAATCAATCTTCAATTTATCATAAAACAAAGTAAAAGTCCTCTTACAGGTCTCTTCATAGTATATACTTATATTAAAACAAGGTTAAAACCTTAATTCTAATTCAAAAAAAGGAAAGATAATAGGCCCATAGGGCCAGCAAACCCCACCCCATGAGCTCGAAATTGGTATCGAGACTAGTTTAGTCCTCATGACTCAATCTAGGGTGCAAGTTATGTTTGTCACCCCCCCTGGGGAGAAAACATGCTCCTTGTCACCCACACCTAATATCATCAATTAAAATAAGAAAAAAACAAGTCACTCAGAATAAAGCTTCAATATTTAGAAGTCCTCACCACTATATCACTCAATGGGTCTTCATAAAAAATAATGATAACAATTTGCTTTATCCCGAGCTCATCCTCAAATATATACATGTTCTCTCATTCATTCTCTTCATCTTCAATCTCAATCATTTTTCTCTTATATATTATTTCCTTATAATAATATCAATTACATCACAGTTATTCAATATTTGACTATATAAAAAATATTTTTATTAGGGTTATTTTACATATTTATTTTAAGGAAACAACCTAGATTAATTATGCAAGTCTCCCCAGAACTAAAGTGAGGCAAGCCTCACATTACCCGAGGTATATAAACCTTGCACCCAATGAGACTGATGTGGGTCTGCTAAGGCTGAGCCGGTCTAGGGTTCAGCTAAGAGGGGTTGTCGATTCAGAAGGGAGGTTGAATCGGTTGGCCCTAAATAGGATTGGAGTGTTGTCGTGTCTTTCCCTCTCCCCCCTACTTAACTATTACATAAATAAATAAATATATAATATGTGTGTTTGTGTGTGTTCTATTTGGACAACCTCTATCATCCCCTCTTTCTCTTCTAAAGTTTTATCTGACGGCAAGAATGTACTCCGACTGTAACTCGTCTCTAGATGGTGTGTATCTTCCTTTTTTTACTGCTTGCTTCCCCCTTCATGCTTTCCCCTACATCCATCGCACCTCCCTGCTTAAAGCCGCCACTCCACTCATCCCTTCAGAATCGCTACTCTCACCCGTGAAACCCAACTACACTACCGATCTCCCTTCCCTGTCGTACGTCTCGTGACTTGCAGCACCAGCCAACCCCTCCATTTTAAGTTGCCTCCAAACACCTTTTATCATTTTCCCTTATAGCCGCAACCCCTGTCTGCCATCCTTATTATAAATGCAATCCCCTTTCCCCTCCTCCTGCACTAGTCCAACCCATAAACGCCCA